AATTTGATGAAAAATTGTAATCTAAAATAGTTTTGACAGTCGTTCATTTCATAATCAAGGTCGGGGAGAAAAATAATTAGTGGATGTTGTAGAGCAAGTTCTGCTCTATCGAACTGGTAACGCCACCATTCTCGTTTATTCCAACTTTCTGATCGAATTTTTCATACACTGTTCCTCTACATTGTGAATCAGTGGGCAGTATAAAAATATGTGAAAATTTTTTAGATTCCTAAGGATTCTGGCGTAGTTTTTCAAGAGGAATACAAATATATAATTGGTTTTAAAATCCGAATGAATAATCATAGACTATGATCGTTTTTTCGAAAAAAATGTGACTTGAATTGATTGAAAAAAACATAAAATGCATGAATAGTATTTGACCCGTATCTCTCTAAAAGTAGCAACCAAATATAAAAATTTTATAACCAAAATGATCAGCGCAAAAAACTATACAAAGCCTAAAAGTTTCACTGAATTTGGACGTAGTCGCTGGATCGACTGGCGACATCCCATGGAAACATCCTTTAGAATTCAGTAGTATTTTTTTTTTCATATATTATAAGATTTTACAACAACAGATTATTGAATCTCTTTTGTTTTTCTCTACAAAAACAAAATCTTTATAAGATCATAAAATAATATAAAAATTTATAGCTGTAAAAATTCTTATCTATCGATTTTACAAAGATAAAAAATAAGATTTATTAACTTGACAGATGTACATTGTAAGGTGAAGTCAAGTGACGATGAATTCCTATTTTCAGAAAGATTCAAATAAAACAATTTCATAAAAATTCAATTCAATACTTTGAGAAATAAATGCAGAAAATTGATTTTAATACAAAAAAAAAAAGAATATAGACATGAAACGAATATTTTGATGATGATTAGTGTAATTCAATAGTCATTTTAATTTCTCTTTAACTTCTACTTAGAACATTCCAAAAATAGTAATTTTGCTAGATAAAATTCCACAAGAAAGAATTAATCAAATATTTAAATTCGTAGTCATGCTTAATCACATATAATCGAAAATAATTTTTGACAAGAAAATTTATCTATTAGTCTGAACACTTGAAAAATACGTAGTACTTTATCTGCAGGATAGTAAAAGCATCTTGATAAATATACATTATTGGACGTTGATGTCTTGAACGCTAGCCAATGAACTTTGTCTTCTCATATCTGCCAATTTTTAAAGATCATTTGATTAATTGTTTTTAGAAAAGACACGAAATATTGACTCGAGACTAAATTACTACTTCGAACTGTAGTTGATGGAGATTGTTCGATTGCAATTTTTCTAATTCATAGACTCTGAACTGATTTATGCATGACATATCCAGAGTTTGTTAACTATGTTCAACAAAATTTGACTGATCAAAATAATTGTTAACCCTTTGGTGTGTTGGGATTTTTTTTTTGAAAAAAATGAAGTTTTATATATAAGTGAAAATAGATGTTTATTCAATCAAAAATCATTATCAAAAGTATTTTAGGGTATGATAAACTTTGAAACAATCAATTATGCAAAATCCAACATCGCATTCCTCATACTGATATCTTGAATATATATGATTGATTTTTCACAGCAAATATGACATTTCCTTTGGGCAGCTTTTTTTTGTAGCAGTTGAGAGTGCAAGTGATGGAAAATGTCTAGCAGATAAACGAAGTGGTGAATCACTTGAAGACGAAACTCTTTCGACTGTATAGAGAAGAAAAGAACAAAAGTAAAGACTGAGAGAAGAATATGAATACACCCATATATATATATAAGAGAATAGGAAAAGTACCAAGGTAGACATATTAGAATATATATGGAGAATCTCAATAAAGAATGTATGATAATATGAGGAGAAAATCCATTGTATAATATTAAATGCATTATGTGTAGATATTCCCGATGTTTTAGAAATACTGATAATTTTCTGTATCAACAAAGGAAAATTATTCTATAGGCTATTTCCATTCATTTTTGATTGATTTGGTTTTTTTTTGTTCTCAGGAATTCTCTATTTCTATCTTTCTGCTGCTGCTCAACTTCATATTCTTAAACAATTAAGTCTTATTCAAGGAAAATCTCTTGATACAATTCAAACAGTTCGTTATGCATTTGATTCTAATGAAGTATTTCGTGTACCATGGTATAAAATTGGTGGGAGTTTTATTAATTTTGAACGACCATTTGGTATTTATGCATTTTCAATTGATTCTCCTGAACATATATCAGTAAATGATATTGGTGTTGGACCATTTACAACAAATGATTATACATTAAGATTTTTTGAACATTTTAATCATGTTTATAATAATCCAATAAAAATATTTCGTAATTATGATGAATATTTTCATGCATTAATACAAACATGGTTAACACGTTTAAGATCTGATCAAGATGATTTAGCTGATTGGGGTAAAGAAACAAAAGAATATAATGATCTTTTAAAACATGGAACATATTTTCCATTACCTTATCGATCAATACCAAAACCTTTAAGAAGTGATATAACGCATAAACAATCTGAATTTAATCCTGTTTTTCCATATGCTGATCTTGTTTATGATTATTATCGTGATCCAAATTATTATCGATATGCTCGAGGATGGTTTCTAAATCAAACACAAGTTGAATCAAATCAATATATGTAATGAATTGAAATATAAAAAGAAAGAAAATAATAACTTATTTTATTTTTGTTTTCTGTTTTAAAGGTTAACATATGATATATTACCTGATCGTATGCAACGAAATTTTCTTTTACCAATGTTTGAAAAGAATCGTTGGACAGGACCTTATATATATTGTCCATTAAATTCATATGAATGGCTTGTTTCATCTATTCAACCAATTTGGGCAACAAATCATTTTAATTATAAAAATCGAGCTAGTTTTCAAAATAATCGTCGTTATAAGTAAGATTAAATAATGTAATATTTTTTTTGCTATAATAAAATTTCTTAAAGTTATGCTGGTGTTACAAATGTCGAACTTGCATATACGCAACTTGATGTTAATCAATGTCCTGGTGAACATATACGAAATGTTTATGCTAATTCAGCTGTATGTGATCGTAATGCTTTTGTAAGTATTTTTCAAAAAAATATATTTATTTGTAAATGATATATATATATATGTTCGAAGAAGAATCGTGAGTGTAAGTTTAACTCAAAGTTTTTACAGCTCTCGCCTCCTTAGGATCATACAGCCGGAGTCAAAATTCAGAGGCTAATGTATTTGTTTTCCATAGCAACCGAGGACAACAGACTTCAGGCTCGTTTCTTAGTAACGAAAAAAGGTGCTGAATGGCATTAACAACAGAACTTAGAAGAGAAGTTCTTTAACTGATAAATCATTTTTGAATCGAAACTATGTATATTATGCGAATATAAATGAGCTATGAGTGCTCTGAGAAGAGTTCTCGCTACAGCATTTTTTAAATAAATGCCGTAGTATCAGAAAAACTGATTTTTGACTTGAAATTTTGCATAGAGACATGCCTTAATGAGAACAACTTTTTTGTGAATGTTTCAGATCTTGTCGTTATTCCTATCCTAAGATACAATTATAGTAATAGCATACCATTTACATTGCTCATATAAACCGACAGATTTGATGTTCGTATTTCAGGATAGAAGCAATTAAAAGACTTACAACTTTTACAGCAAATTATTTTCATTAAGATTTATCGCTATGCAAAATTTCAAGTCGAAAATATTCGACATTCATTTAAAACATAGTGTAAAAGTGCAGTATTTCCGCAACAAGGGCATGAACTTTATGGGTAGCCGAAATTCCATCAATATGACTTTTACCATTGACAAAATTCCGAAACCTCAACTCTTTTCAAAGTATTTATAGTTCATTTGGATCTACAATAAGTCCTCCTCGAAATTTGAATGACTGGAATACATTTATGAATCTATGATATCCTATGAAAATATTGTAAGAATTTTATCTGAGAAAATACACTAAATGTATTTTAGAATAAAATATTCATCGGATGCTTAATAAATTGCTTGATCGAAACATGTTCAATAGAATGATACTTGAAATTGCTGTTCACATATTGAGCTAAATTGCGTACATACTATCCTTCAGTTTTCCTTTGAAAGAAAATAACTGATTTTCTTTTTAAAAAAAATGTAAACAAAACTTCGCGTTTACCTAGGCAATCTGTTTCACCGAACTATTGAAGATGTTAATTATCCCCAATAGAAAGTTTCCGGAGAGAAATGCAAAGCACAAAAAACAAAACATTTAGAAAGGGGAAAATTACGTTGCTTCCTCTTCTCCCTCCTCTAATCGTATGCACTCAGCAACAATAAAAGAAAAAACAAAATTTTTATTCAAAATGCAACAATAAATAAGATAGATCGTTTCCTTGTCGATCGATCATTCTTGAAAAACAAACATAGTCTACTAGAGATTTTTCACTTAACATATTTTGTATTAGTATAATGATGTTAAAGAACAGATGTAAATTCTACATTTCCGTCTTAAAGAGATTGCACCGATAACTTGTGATGATTACAGAAGTTTATTTTTATCATAAGAAAAAACACGGTCAAGATGACATAAAAATAGATCTGAATTAATGCGCTATCATTATACAAAAATATACATATGTCAACTATCTTCCTTATAATAGAAGAAAACATTTTAAATTGAGTAATACAAAAGATAAGTACAGAAAAGCTTGCTATGTAATGCTTTTTTTATCGATCTATCAATGTCATTATAAGTGCAAACATATGAGATAAAATGACAATAGAACAAAATAAAGAAAAATCTCAATACAAATCGATCGAATGTTATATTACATATTCTTTTCTTATGAATCAACAGATATATTTATCATTGCTTTTTATCATATGTAAATTCCTTCTTGAATAGAATATCTTTGAAATTTTTATAGTGCGAACCAATTGCTGGTTTTAGTTTACAAAGTGGTGGTTATCAATGTTCATGTCATCCAAATTTTCGTTATCCATCATATGTACATATACCATATCGACCTGCATTTGATAAATATTCATCAAAATCTATACCTCATTGTCAACCAATACGTCTTTTAACACAATATCCAACATGGCATGTTGAAAGATCTAAACGACATCAATATCGTCGTTCTATTTCACGACCAAATCAATTTGAAAAACTTCGTTCACTAATTTTTCATCGTCCATCAACATGTCCACCATGGTCACATATAGCTATGTTACCTGTTGAACAAAATGATGATGATAATATACGTTTTGTTAATGATTTAACACGACATATTGATCGTATTGCTCATCCATTTACATTACAAGCTATACGTCTTGCTCATTTATTTTCAAGTTATTTAGCATTATATAGACCTGATCGAGATCCAGCAAATGATGGTTTTATTGATCGTCGATCAGATCCTCCAATTAGTGAACAATGGCTTGAATCAGAAATAATGAGTATAGGTTTAACTTATACACAATTATTAGAAGTAAGTATTTATTTAAATGGTTCTGAATATGAACGACAAAATCCATTTCAACAACGAAATGAATTATACGAAGGAAAAAATGAATTTGGTTATAGAACAAGTGTTTTTCGACATATGAATTATGGTTTATCATTTATACGTTTTGATAATGATGATAATAAATATATTCTTAATCGAACATTAGATGGAAGTTATTTAAATGAAGGTGGATGGTATGATAAAGCTATGCAAATGAGAACAAATATTAAAACAACACGATATAGTATATCAATGACAATGCGAAGAGATTTATTGGGTACACAATTAATTAAATTGCCGACTTTGTTATATGATGCACCAACAACTGGTGTATGGTAAATAAATAAAAAAAATCCTTCTATTTAACTAATGAAACATAAATTTTAATATAGGTTTGGTCCTTATCATGATTGTTCATTTACAAATCCAACACCAAAAAGTATGGTTCGTTGGCGTTATTCTGTACCTATATTTAAAGAAGTAGGTCGTTTACCAATTGGTTTTGTATCAATTGTTTTTGGTTCGAATCTTCGTTGGTATGCAATAAATCCATGTGATAATACAATTGGAATTAATGCTTATAATTCATTTCAAAGTTTACATAAATGTCATCGTGAAACAACAGAATGTCAATATCAAATAATTCCAGATGAAGAAACAGGTTTTGATTTAGCTAGTTATCGATGTGTATGTAAAATTGGTTATGAATATCCATTTAATTCAATAAAAAATTATTTTGAAGGTGCTAGTATTGAACGTGAGTATACAAAAATGTTACGTGGTGAAATAAATGCTTATGAAAATATGCAATGTCGTCCAATCGATCAACAATTAGAACCTAGATATTATACGTCAGATAGTGTTCGAAATAAAATTTCTTATTGTTTTATGCTTTTTTTTTATTTTATTTGTTTTATAACAAGAAAATTTGTTCTTTTTTTTTTTTTTTGAATGAATAAACAATTTCTACTATTATGTAAGAAAACTATTTTGAAATATATTAAAATGACGGCAAGAAATCATTTAGTGTTGATTTGAATACAAAAAAAACACGGCCTGGTTTGTAAGGAAAAAGAACAGAATGAGAAGAAGAGGAAAAAAAACAGTAAGTTATATATATATTTTTTCCTTTCCTCGTCATTCAGTGCTTGCATTCTTACATCAACACTCAATGAGCTATGAAAAAGACAAATAGCAATATATACCGACATTCATAAGAAGAAGTAACTGCGCCGACGTACTTGATTTTGCGTTTCTTTCATAACCGTTACTTGTCATGTGTCGACATCATAAGATAGTTTATTTTCCTATGCATAGGCGGACTAGCGTTTTATATTGAGATGTAGCCTATAGATTGTAGTATCTTATTATTACAAAAGAAAAACATGTTTTCAACGTTGTATATGCTGCTAATAATTTTTCTAGGTATAGCAAGTGCCCCAAATTGTCCTGTACTGGGTTCCTCATGTGTCGATGTATGTGACATGATTCAAAAAATAAATAAATAAATAAATATTTTTTTTTCTTCTTTTAGATGGCTTCAGAAGAATATACTATTGATATTGTACCATTATCACCTGAACATCGTCAATCAGTTATTAATCTTCTAATGAGTTCATTTTTTATACAAGAACCACTCAATGATATGCTCAAATTTGAAATTCCTCATGAACCATTATCATGGACTGATAGTATGGTTGATATTGCACTTGCTGATCAATGTTCATTTGTTGCCGTAGATGCAGCAAATCCTCATAAAGAAATTGTTGGTGTTATACTTAATGGTATTTCAAATAGTGCAAAACAAGAAGAAATACCTGTTTTGGAGTCTGAAAAATTAAAATTTATTTTTTCATTAATGGATCAAGTAATGGAAGGTTATGATCTATTTAAATTATATAAAACTGATCGTATTTTTCATTGTGATGTTATTAATGTTGATGAAAAACAACGTGGTCAAAATTTAAGTACTCGTTTAATATCTAAATCACTTGATAAAGCTCGACAATTAGGTGTTAAAGCTGCATATGTTGTTTGTACAAGTGTATTTTCACGAAAAGCTTTTATGCGTCATGGTTTTCAAATTATTAATGAGCTTTTATATTCTAAACATGGAGATACACGTTTATTAAATATGGGTATACATGATCGATGTACTCTATTAGGAAGACAGTTGTGAATACTTTAAATTCATATCAAAATGAAAGTAAATGATTCGAATATTATTTAAAAATTTCTTTTTTTTTACATAGATGTTTTATATTATCTTTTTAAATTCAATAAATGAATCATTTAACTTTTAAATTGAATTCATAATTGATATACAATCAACTTTTTTTTTTTAAATAATCTTGATTTTGATTAGTTTATATTTATTCATATTAAATGAAATATTGTTTATATTTTGCTTTTATCAATGTATAATTGTAATTTTATGCAACGATATGAGAGAGAAATTTTCAATCAAATTCTTCTTCTTTTTTTTTCTACGTGTTCTGTATAATCAAGAAAAATTACTTCATAGAATAACAACTACCTAAAAGTATTGAATATCATCATATACTTTTTGTTTTTTGACTAGTTTGATAATGTTAAAATGAAATAGAAGAAAAAATGAAGATTACCCTTTTACTCTAAAGTCTTTCTTTTCATGTGACCTACAAATGTGTGAAACAGATGCCTATTGATGAGGTGTTTACTTTCATTTTAATGAAGTTATTAATATTCTTTTCTATTGAATATTCTCTTTTCATTCAACCATCAGAAGAAAATATGATCGTTTCATTTAATAATTTTGCCAGTCAATGAATAATAAAATCTTCGTCTAAGTGAAGATTACAGAAAAAAAAAATAAAGAAGAAATATCATTAATTTAGCTTACTGGATATATATTTATAATTTATCCTATTGTATTTCAACAATGTCAAGATTGCTTGAACTAAAGTCAACTGTCTAATTTGCTTTTTAGACCTTGATTATTAATCCAATCAAAAATAAATATGCCCTTTTTTTAAATCTATTATTTCAGATTCTCTTGTAAGACAGGTTTTTTTTTTTAGGGAAACAAAGAATTTATTTGATTAAAAATAAAAGTCATGGAAAGATTTATTGAAAAAATTTGCGTCTTTTCTTTAGAATCAAACGCTGTTTTTTTTTTCTATTCTTAAATCAATTCCATAATATGAACATAACCAATAATCAATTTATATTCTGTTTATCACAAAAATAATGTTTCATATTTCTACAATATTTCATTATCCTTTAACAAATATTTTCTTTATAAGATTTCGATAAAAAATTGTTCGTTATGACATGTGACGATAACACTAATGCCTATTTTAATGAAAAAAAAGGTGGATAGGTTTTTTTTTTGTATAACTTTTGATAGAAACCAGAGAAAAAGCTGAGGTTTTCACAGTTAGAAAGACAAAATAAAAACACATGAAATTTCATGTTACAGATTTCTTGGTCTGCCTTTGTTAATGTCTTCAATCGATTATTTTGAACACAAATCTACCTCATGAGATTATTTATAGTGAATTTTCAATGATCAGATTTGCATTCTAACCATCAATTAAGAATCTATAAGACTGTGGTACATTTTAATGTTTAGATTTAATCATTTAGGAGTTATAGGTATTCTAGTCGAAATTCTAAGTCCATTTTTCTAGCGATTATCGCATAAAAAACCACTTTTTTTTCGAAAAATTGATATAAAGAACTTGGAACAACATATTAGAAAAATCTAGGATATACGATCCGACGCGTCTTTATCTTTTTAACGATGAAAATCGTAGCTATCTGTCTTGTTTTTATCAGAAGTTGTACAAAAAAAAATAACTACCCGCTTTTTTTTATATGGGCATAAGGGTTATCGCTGCATATGTCAAAACAAACAGCTCTTATCGAAATTTGATTAAGAGGATATCAGTTGAAGAACTATAGAGCTTTGTCTTTACTCTTAGTGCATACAGAGAGAGAGAGAGAGAGTTTTTGTAAGTTTTCTATATGGTATTAAAGTGCTACTGCCACTACATTTCCATTACCCTAAGTAACTTTCTATCGAGATAAACCAATGTCAAAAGAAGAGTTACAAAAACGACTAAAAAACTTCGATGATATTAGTTTCACTCATGAATTTTCATTGAATTCAAGAAACACAGAAATTTCATTTTCATTTGCTAGTTCAACATATATCGATAATGGTTTTGAGACAATACTGTTAGAAAATGTAAAATTAATCGTTATTTGAAATAAATGCGTTTTGCTGATATTCAAACTAAAGGTTAAACAAAAATAAAATGAAGAAATTCTTGTCAATTTCAATTCGTGCGTATTTTTTTTTCTTAATCTCATTCAATTTACTCTGATGCGTTCTACTAATGAAGACTCAGAAAAAAAAGCTCAAGAATACTTTGCATGTTAATCATATAAAATTAATCTAATTTAATTAGGCAAATATTTCACATAAAAGAAATTAATGATTATTATCATTTTAAAATTGTATGACTAGTAAAAGATGCTGAAATAAAATGTTTATATGTCGATAGATTACTTTTATTGAAATGCCTGTTAATATTTTTTTCATAATTTTCAATATATAAAAGACATGTTTTTCAAAGTTAATAATTTGTATGTATCATTATGTATAGAAACGCAAGAATCAAAGATCAAAACTAATTAATTCCAATTAATCTTAATGAAAAGAATTCTATTGAGAAACTCTCTAATAACGCTAGTTTATTGCTCAAATAGATCTATTATTAGATATAGAATATAAGTTTTTCAATAAACTGAAAGATACTTCTTTATCCCATCTAAATTCCAGCAATTACCGTGTTCGAAAAACAAAAGACTTCCGTACATAAAACATAATGATTTGAACAAAAGAGTCAAATACGTCCTTTGAAAGAGTAAAATATTTTTCTAAGTCTAACCCCATGTCGCCACTTTTTTAACAACTGCGTCGCAGTTGCGCGTAACTGCGGCGCATTGATCGCAGCAAAAAAATCATATGTTCGACTACGATCGACTGCGACGCAATTACGCGTAACTGCGAATAAAATATCGCAGTTGCGCGCAGCTATGGTAAAAAATTCGTAGTTACGCGTAGCTGCGCCGCAATTTTCCGCAATTACGGGTCACAGTGCGATCGCAGTTACGCGTAACTGCGTCGCAATTCGATCGCATTCGAACACATGGGACTCAAGTTGAAACTCTTTTGTACATAAATTTTATTTGAACAAATTGAATGTTACTTGCAAATCTAGCTATCTTTCTTCTTCAAGCTTTTACTCTTTCACAGTAAAAGATTCAAGCGATTCAAACAGTTCTTTTTTAACAAACAAGACTTGACATGAATTTGATTTCTTTTTTTTTGTATTAAGAGGATGGGTATCCTTGGATTAAGATTTCGCGTCAGTTTTATCATATGTGTGTGACGATAAATGACAGAAAGAATATTAGTAGTGATGCAATTACACTTTATTCTATTCCTTCATATTATTTAATCGTATCGTTTATATACAAAGCACACGTTAATATACCGCAAATAGAGTGAGAGAGAATGAAAAGAAAGGAGATGAGATTAGGGAGAGAACAGATATGAAAGAATAATAGGGTAAAGACAACAAGGTAATAATATATATATAATATACGAGTGAATGATGATACAACATGAGAAGCACATTACGAAAGAAAGAGAATGAGGCTCAATCATGCATAGTTAAGCGCAACCCAGTGAAAAATAATCATAGAAAAAAACGGAAGGAAACGCATTCAGCAAAACATGGAAAGTTACCTTTCCCATGAAGGACGCGTTCTATAGTTTGGCGAATGCGTTCATGAATGAAAAGAATAAGTTATGCATATGAAGGAATGTATTCTTTGTCGTTCCACGTTTTTGTGGGATGGTTTCTTCTCGGTTCAAAATCGTTCTTTATCTGAAGAGAATGCTTTCTTTGACCTTCTCTCAAGAAATACTTGAAAATGGATTCTTCGAAATGATAAACGCGTTCCAGACAATTCAACGTCATTCTTAGGGAGAAAAGAATGTGTTCTCCATCGTTCTCCTAATTGTCGAATGCTTTTTTGTGAATTCAAAAATCAGTTTTGAAAATACAGGACATCTTCTCGTCCGTTTCATAGTCTACATAAAATTATCCTGTTATATTGAGAAAGAATATTGATTAGCTCCAAATGGATTCGTCAGTGTTCTCAAATATATTAAATTTTTTTCTCATTATTTTCTGCATAAAAAATGATTATCATAACTCTTAGTTCTTTTATCAACATCTGTTTTCAACGTTGAGCTTTTAGCTGCCGATATCGTGACAGTCTTATTTATAATACACTGACAAAAACAACGGAAATCGACACAAGCAATGTGCAACAATAAGAAAGATTCTAGGAAAATTCAGAGTCGTTCGACAAACAAGTATGCAACAATTCTTCTCTTTAATGAACTTAACAAGCTTTTTCCACAATTTGTATTGTATTGTTCATTGAGTTTTATTACATCTTAATGTGAAACAATTATTTCTTTTATCTAAGTAGTAAAGAGAGAATTAGTGTTCTTTCGGTTACTTTCGATATTAATCAAAAAAATCATTTTTTTCATTCGATACAGACAAATTAATGCTTCTTTAGTTTTATTTCATCTTAGTAGAGTTAGAGTTAGTTTTCCTTTATTTATATTATTCGACAAGATATAAGAAAACAAACAAATTGCAAAATATACTAATTCGTCAATCATTTTATTTTGTTTTATTCAAAAACAATAGTAAACCTTTTCACCTATACACACGGTAATTCTCAACGCAAAATATGTACAAAATTGTTCTTTTCACACTATTGATAAACATTGCAATGCGATCGAAATATTATCTCCACCTTCCATGGCAACGTGTATCAATAGTCAGGACGAAACAAAAGAAATGAATAATTTTGTACATATTTTTGCATTTTCTATCATTTTGTGTTGATAATGACGTTGTGTATAGGTGAAAAGGCTCACTATTGTTATTGAGTAAAACTAAATGAAATGATTGACGAATTAGTATACTTTGCAATTAGTTTTCTTTTGCTTTTATTCTATCGTAATAGAAGTAGTTATTTATTTTATCTAGTAGAGATAGAGTTAGTTTACCTATAGTTTTGTTCGATCTTAATACAAATAGC